TAATATTTCACATTTTATACTGAATTTTTGAGCAAATAAATGCAGCCTTGGTGAGCATATAAGACTATTTTTAAGCGTCATTTAACTTCTGATCATTTAACCCTAAAACAGGCAAGAGTGAAAAATGATCAGCAAAAAAATCATTTCATGTCACTTTTTATATCATCTGGACTTAAGTCAAACAAATTCAAAGGAATTTTTGTAATATATTTTGGATTTTGGAGTTGTGCCTCACGTTGCCCATTTAGGGTATAAAAAACAGCCCAAGTAATCAATAATTCTATGATTTATTTGATGCAAACAAATATGCTGCATGTATGACATGTCTTAAGTGTCCTAAATTTGAGGCACAGACATTTCTTGTATTTTTACATTTCTGAACTGTCTCGTCTTCATTCTTAGGGGTGGGCAGTTCCACCCCTTGAGGTCCACTGTCCTGCACGGTTGAGCTCCATCCCTAAACAATCATATAATGCAATTTATGTAACACCATATAATTTTTTTATGTAATCCTGAAGACTTTTGTTAGATTTTTCAGATGTGTTTGATCAGGGTTGGAGCTAAACACTGCAGAATGGTAGCCCTCCAGGAGCAGGGTTGGACACCCCTGTTCTATTATAAAATGAGCTGTGTGGGGAAAAAAAATCTAGTTAAAAATGCAAAGATGTAGTCAGCTAAATGTAATATTATCAGTTTTACATGCACAGTTTTTAAACTCAAAATAAATAGAAAGGGGACTGTGTACAAGGGGCCAGGAGGGCCAATAAGGCTCTTCGCTAAGGGACTCTTGCCCTGGTATGCGATTTCTACTGAGGGGGATCCGCTCCCCTTGATGCGATTTATAATCCCCATCCACCCCCCACCCCCCCCCTCTGAGAGATTTTTTATCAAGGGGCTCCCCCTTGTATTTTGTGTGATTTCTACACCCCCCATAACCACCAAGAGGGAACGGCAAACCCCCTCAAAACACCCCACCCCACCCCTCACACACTCACCACCCCAGAATGCACAATAATGAAATAACCAGAACAGGGGGCACAGTTTACCTTGTGACACCATTCAATGTCAGTATTGAGGATAATCCTTTTTTTATACCCTAACCAGGCAACGTATCTCAGGGGGATACGCATATTTCAAAATGCAATAAAAAACAACATATGACTTAATTTGCATTTTCAACATCTCAAGACAATGTTCACAATTAATACTAACAGTTGTATTGCATTTTTTTTTGGCTGGAAAAAGTCAGATTAATAAATGCCCGCTTTCTACATTGTCTGAATGTGCAGCCTCGTGGGTGTACATGTTGGCTTTAGGTCAAACTGACAAAACAAGCACAGAAAATTTGAAATTAAAAATTCTTCCTCGTGCCTCATACAAGAGACTAAAGAATATGTATGCTGTGGTATATGTCGCCTGTTTAAGGGTTAAAGGTAGCAGAAGGCAGTTTTGTTGGCATTAAAACTGTTCAAACTGCATTTATAAGGCTGTAAATGAACAGATAATTCTTTCACACCCTTGAAAGTGTTGCTGTTTTTGTGCACTTGAACTTTGCCTGAAGACCCGAAGACTATTTTGCCTTCGTCAGGGTGTTTGGCTGAAGACTTTGTATGCGTGTAATGTGTCCTGACACCTTCATGTAACACATGTTGTAGATAAAGGCAGAAAAATGCAACTAAACCTCTTTATTTTTAAGCTTTCCTCGAACAGAGGCCGAACTGCACAATGTCACGCAACCCATCAGTGTAAATGAGCAGCAAAATACCTTTATACTCCACGATCAAGCAGGTGTCCAACTCAGGATGAACTCCGTCCATCAGAATCATAAATCGCAGGAGCTCATCGACCTTCAAATGATGGAAAAGCCAAAATGAAGAAAAATATAACACCTGAAGAAGAGTTAAAGAAAAAAAAACATACATTCTGCCACACGCCGAACGGCACCACGTTGACGTTGGTTAAATTCACTCCACTTTTTTCAAGATACCTGCAACGAAATGAAAACACAGACATGATTCCCAAACTTTTTTGTCAGCCAAAACCCTTAGACATAATATATTTACTTAAAATTTTTAAGTTAATAATTCAATTCAAGTTAATATTTCAGTTTAACAAAACATTAGTACGTTTACGGTTCTCTGATGTCGATAAATGGCCACATGATATGCCAAGTAAATTTTTTCTTGTTAAGTGTTTTATTTTCATTGTTTTTATTTTAAAACTATGTATAGGGCTGCACAACCAAAAAATTATATTGGGATTGTCGTCATATATTTAAAAAATCGTATCGTATAGTTTTGAATGGGGAAAAATGCAACGCTCAATATGGCCGCTCTATAGAACGAAGCCCCGCCTTCTGAGTAAAAGAGCCAATCGCTAATCGGTAAAGTCAGCGCGTCACTGCAGCTGCCGTTATAAGTCCCGGTTTCTATAGAAACAGTCAGTGTTCTGAGACGTGCGTTCAGGACTGCGCATGCGCACTGGCTGGTCTAGCCTGAAAAATAGGCTTTTTTTAACGCTATTTGAGCAAAAGAAACAACATTTATGAGATTTCATTGGTGATTTCAAATATGAATTTTAACTTTGACTTTGTATTGTGGGAAGCTGCCTCTCAGTCATTTCTTACTTATAGCTAAAAACAGAACAATGTCTAAAAGCTGTTGTGTGACATGGTGTACAGCAAACAAAGTAGAGCGCAATGTGTCTACACCCACTGGATGGAAACATCAGCGACAGAAAACATTCATTATTTTTAACCTTATCAAAGGATGAGAGATATATTGAGAAACTGCATTTTATTTTGAATGTTTCCTGTCACCGACGTTTCCCTCCAGTGAATTTAGACTTCATTTCCAGCGATATCATCGACTTGATTGCACAGACACTATTTAAACTGAACTGAGCTGGATGATGGCATCCCTGAATTCAATGATGAACTGCCTTTAGCTGAAAATTGATTATTTACTATTGTCATTTTGCATTATTGACACACTGTTTTCGTATTTAATGCTGTACAGTTGCTTTGACACAATCTGTATTGTTAAAAGCGCTATATAAATAAAGGTGACTTGACCTTGTCACACAACAGCTTTTAGACATTGTTCTGTTTTTTGCTATAAGTCAGAAATAACAAGGAGGCAGCTTCCCGCAATACAAAGTCAATGGAGAGGGTCAGATTGCCCCGTCTAAATGCGCTCTGTCTTTATGCCAAAGCCACCTCATTATTGGCAGCTACAGATTTGAAAAACAATAAGGCAGGAAAAATCTAGATTAAAGAACCCTAAACTCTGGAGCTCAACCATCCAGCAGACTATCAGCAAACTCTCAACAGGTACGTTTCTCTTTTACGTTTCTTTTTTTAAAATTGGAACTCGTCGTTTTGTATGAACATGTCTCATGTCGCTACTCCTAAAACTTCCCGACACAAAGAACTAATGCTGCGTTCAAGTCCTCCTGGGACGTTCGTACTTACGAGTTGACAAGTCGTAATTACGACGTCAGGTGCGTTCAAGTCAGTTTAGTCGACACAAGATGGTGGTGTACCTTCTTTTAATAAATTACAAGAAAATACAACAGGGTCTGTTAACTCTGCTTATAGAAAATGAAGAGCAAAGAATTCGCATCAGGTGTGTTTTGCGTTTTTAATGTTTTTTTTAGGCCAGGATCCCAGTATAACTGATTTTCAGCATCAACAAATGCTAAAATACAGAGATTAAAAAAAGCTGTTAGCTAAATGCAACATGCAATATTGCAGATTTTTCACTTATAGGTGCAAAAATGATAGCATTTTGTTTACTTGGATTTCATTAACTAGCTGCGTAGCAAGCACATGACCAATTTAAGTTTATAGGACAACTAAACTATCAATTTAAACAAAAATTTACCGTCAACTACAGACGTTGCATCCATCGATTCTGCCATGTTTCTCATTGACTCGGGAACTCTGGGCTTAAAGAAAATTTAGAGTTTCCCACTCGTAATAACGAGTTTGTGGTGGCGTTCATGTGCGTTCAACTCATAAATACGATCTATCCGACATGACTTGAACGCACCAAAAGACTCTACTGCTGATTATCAATTTAAACAAAAATTTACCGTCAACTACAGACGTTGCATCCATCGATTCTGCCATGTTTCTCATTGACTCGGGAACTCTGGGCTTAAAGAAAATTTAGAGTTTCCCACTCGTAATAACGAGTTTGTGTCTATCCGACATGACTTGAACGCACCAAAAGACTCTACTGCTGAAGGGAATTTTCAAAGGACTCTGTAAGGCTGCAAGAATCTCGAATACTGAGATACGGTCAATACAAACAGTGATTTAACATTCAGGCATCTGTTCTCTCACTCCACTAAAACAACTTTCACTTCTTTCTCCTTCACATCTGTTCCTACTTCTCACTATTTCCTCAGTTCACTCAAAATGTTTATATGCAAACACGTTTTTTGTGAATGTGAGTCATGTTTGGTGTCATTTGAAATGTCTCAGTGCAATTAGTACAAAGGACTCATTTCCACAGATGTAATCCTAATAAAGATTTGAGAGTATAGGGTTACTTTTGGTGTGCTGTGCACTGTGCACTCTATATCTAAATGACCTCAACGGGATGTGAACTCCCCAGGTTTAATCTGAACGGTCAGTTCACAGCCCTGGTTGGAGAATGTTTTTCTTGGTTTCAGTACTTAAGGAAGTGTTATTGCAAAAGACTCAAGGGACTTCTGTAGCCAGATGAGCACATATTCATTCTCTAAAAAAAAAGGATATAGAACCATTTTTGGTTCCTAAATAACTTTTCAGTTAAATTTTTTTCTCTCTCAGTTTGAAGACCATTTAAAAAAAATCTAAATAACCTTTTTCACTATAAAGAAGCTTTTGGGGGAAATGGAAAAGTTCTGTGGATGTTAAAGTTTCTTCCCAGAACCACCGATTCCAATGAAGAACTTTATTTTTAAGAGTGCGTTGTCCAGAAGAACCCTTTTTGGAGAAAAACTAACTTGGAAGTTTTTAGAATTGCGTGGAAAAACAGTATGTCCAGCTACAGACAGGCTCTAAAAGCTGCCAGGGCTGAGCATATCCACAAACTCATAGAAAATAACCAAAACAATCCAAGGTTTTTATTTAGCACAGTGGCTAGATTAACAAATAACCAGATGCCACCCGATCTAAATATTCCCTCACAGTTTAATAGTAATGACTTTATGAATTTCTTCACTGATAAAATAGATAACATCAGAAATACAATAACAAATGTAGATTCTACAGCGTATAATACTTTAGCTTGATTAATGGCACACGTCATTACGTCCCACGTGACGCCATCCGACGTCCCCTCCGGAATTTCACGTATAAACATATCGTCTTCGTGATGATGCCATGCACAGTTTTGGGTGTTTCATTTTAAATTTTATGAAAGCTTCAAGTGCAGTTAATTATTTGTTCGTGCATACACACGACGGCGGTGTTGAAGCTCTTTATTTGCCGTTAAATGGTTGAGCACTGCCGTGTGTGTATCCTGTCGCAAAATGCGGTGAAAAGTCCTACACGACGGTAATAATGCGATTAAGGTGTTTACATGTCTATTCGGCACTTCAGTAATGCGACTAAAATAGGAATACTCCACATGTCTTAATTCGATTTCGGTTTACTTCGATTATGACTTTAGCCGGATTAAGGTAATCAAAAATCTCTGTTTACATGGTAGATTCTTAATACGTCTTAATCGTAAAATTCTATTAAGCCTTAAAGTTCTGCATAATTAAGGGCGGGGCCACTTGAGTGACAGGTGGATTGTCGCTGCTGTCACCAGCTAGGTGGGCGTGGCTTCAGCAACCTGCTCCCGCCTCTTTGCCCATTTTCGATTATCCGGGAGTGACGCGCGGTGACGCACTGCCAAGATGGCGACGGCTGGCTCCGCCCACTTTTGAGCTTCAAAAACGCTCTTTGGAAACCTACGGGTGACGTCACTTATACAGTCTATGAGCCAGACACGTTTTTTTTGTTTTTTTACAGCGCTGCACATTATAACTAATCACACACAGCGCGTGCGCACGCTGACTGATTTCTGTTCTCCGGCGAATTTTCTCATCAGAAACAACAAAGTGCAGATGTGCGTACGAATGTAAGTAAGATATTCATTTCACAATGTAAACCGCTTGAGTGATTTTAATGGGAGTTTTTGAGATTATTTAAACTCTGGCTAGACTGAAGTCAGTGATAATGTCTTTGATAATGTAAATGTTCTTTCCTCTCTTTCTGTACAAAGAAAGTGTTATAATTAGTAACGTACAATGTTTTTATTAAATTCACATTAAATTCAAAGTCAGTCTTATTAAAAATATTTTATGGCTTGACACCCATATCTGGTACTTAAGTAAAAAGATGGGGTTTTATGTGTAGTTAATAGATTACACTATTATGCTACTTTACCCATTAGCCTATAGATCAACTAACATAATCTATAAAGCTGCAAAATGCATTTACTTACACATATTTGAGAATCGAGATATTGGTATTATTCATGATTTAGTTAAGACGTTTGGGAATATTTCGAATAAAAAGGAGAAAATAAATAAAACATCAACCTATATCAGTTATACAGTGCTAAGGTGGCTGCTGTTTCACATGACAACAAAAATAATAAGTGCATGACTCCCCTGACACTACAATACAAAATTATTTGTCAAATGAAACATGATGAAACTTTCATTTGAGTTTAAATTGTTATAGCTTACTTGTAGAGATTGCAGTGATACATGACATGGTGAAAATAACTGAATGAATAAAACTGAAAGTAGGTTGAAATGAATTTTAAAAGTCTGGCCCCCAGTCATCTAGAACCGCCACTGTTAACTGACAGACCCACCTCATTATAGTTATGAGATGTCTTTGGCAGTTAAGCTACAGATGGGAAAAACCCTAAACTCTGAAGCTCAACCATCCAACTGAGTGTCAACACACTCTCAACAGGTACATATCTTTTTTAAAATGTCTATAAAGTTGCACTTTCAAATTGGAACTGGTTTCCTACCAACCATGTCTTTCTCGTTTTAGTTTAACAGAACATGTACGTGAGCAGCTCTGTTTAGCTTTAAATTATTAAGTATGTTATATATATCTACAGAAATGTTATAGCCATAACATCAGTGCAATTGAATATCACTATTTCAGTTTTAATTTGATTAATTGTGCGTCCTTATTTGTTTGTTTTAATGTAGCAAACTCTGCTTTAGATTTCAGTCTCACCAAAACACTGGCCGTGAAGTGTCTCCGACGTAAATGGGAATATCTGGACGCTTCATGGAAAGACGTTGCAACGTCGGGTAGCTGATAGAAAAAGTTTTTTTTAAATGTACAGTTTTGTGGCATAATACAATACAATACAATATGATGGATCAGACACTAACCTCAGGTGATCTGAATGCATGTGGCTGATGTAAATGAGATCGGCCTGACTGAGTCTGTCCATGGCATCAGACGGAGGCTCGTGAAGGAGCCACCAGCCCCTCGCAAACGCTGGTCCTGTGAGCCACGGGTCGAACATCATCCGTTTGTTCCCCGCTTTCAGCTCCATACATGCGTGTGTGATGTAGGTCAACTGAAACACACAGGATCCTTTGATGAATAGGACATTTGGAAAAATAAATCTTTTATAGCATTATAAATATCACTTTTGATAGTTTAATGCATCCATCCTTGCTGGATTTCTTAAGACCTTCATGACCCAGGAACAGTATTAATTTGCATATTGATTTTTCTGTGGTATTTTATTACAGTTTGGTCAAATATTAAAGTGTTGCAAATCAAGCTTCTGTCGTTTTCTTTAAACAGGAAAAATTCTACGGTAATTGGCGCAGTGTATTCACAAGGGCGTGGATGTGTGAGACAAGACATAAAGTAATCAGTCAACAATGACATACATGCTTTATGGTTTGTTCAAGCAGTTTGTTTACATCAGAAATACATGGTCTGTGCAGCAAACATTTTGTGCATATTTACACTAAAACAAGTCAAATGAAGACAGAGCAGCTCAAATCCGCATCCCTTCCAGAAGCCTCATCTCTTCCGTACGGCCTCCTCATAAAAAGAAAAGAAAATTCTATGCCTTCACTTTTTCTATTCTCTTGTTATACTGTTTTAAACGAAGACTGAAACCTTGTATAATGGGCACTTCTCGTGTTTATTGCCATCTTACATTGGATAAAAGCATCTGCCAAATGAATAAATGTAAATCATTTGAAGCTTCGTTTGCTGTGTAAGAGCAATGATTGAGATGTTAATGAGATCTCATTTGGGTGTTCAGTCAGGGTGGATCATACCGTAATCTCTCCGGCGTGTAGCTCTTGTGCTTCTCGAGGCTCTGCGGTCCAGGGGTCCGGAGGATTCAACTCCAGCAGCTCTAAACTACCGTCAGTATCTGACAGCACTACCTCTACACAGTAAGACAATAACACAGCGATCGCTTCCAACAGCTATACAATTAATATACATCAACATATTATTCATATATTAGCTGCAATTAAAATGACTTCAAATGTCATTAAAATAAAGGTTCCAAAACCATTTTTGTTTCCCCAAAGAACCTTTCAGTGAATGTTTCTTAGTGTAAAGAACAAATGCAATGGAAAGGTTCAATGGATGTTAAAGGTTCTTTATAGAACCATCGATGCCAATAAATAACAAGAGTGTATGAAACTGTTTTCACTGCACTCGTGTTAAATAACAGTGACATTACCGAGTTCGTCTTGCGTGAAGCTGTCTGGAGGGTTGACGTACTCCATAGTGGCCACGTTAAGTTTCCAGTAGTGTTTGGTGCAGCGCACTGTTCTGTTACACAAACACACATATTTAATGATTCGTAATACATATTTGGTAACACTTTACAGTAAGTTTCATTAGTTAACTACTTTAGTTAACATGAACAATACTTCTACAGCATTTATTAATCTCAACATTTACTAATGCATTATTAAAATCAAAAGTTGTGCTTGTTAACATTAGGTAATGCACTGTGAATTAACAATGAACGACTGTATTTTCATTAAATAACATAAAAAAAGATTAATAAATACTGTAATAAATGTATTGTTCATGTTAGTTAATACATTAATGGAACCTTATTGTAAAGTGTTACCATATATTTCTACAGTGTTGAATTTAGATTGAGTTAGATTTTTTAATGTTTTTGAAAGAAGTCTCGTCTGCTCACCAAGGCTTCATTTATTTGATTAAAAATGCAGTAATATTGTCAAATATCATTATAATTTAAAACAACTGTTTTCTATGTGAGTATACTGTAAAAATGTAAATTATTCCTTTGATCAAATATGAATTTTCAAATATTATATTAGTAATAATGTTAAATATTTTTACAATTCAAAATAGCTTTTTCCTGTGTGAATATATTGTAAAATGTCATTTATTTCTGTGATCAAAACTGAATTTTCAGCATCATTGCTCCAGTCTTCAGTGTCACATGATCTTCAGAAATCAGTCTAATATGCTGATTTGCTGCTCAAGAAACATTTCTGATTATTATCAGTGTTGAAAACAGTTGTGCTGCCCAATATTTTTGTAGAAAATAAAGTTTAAATGAACATCATTTATTTGAAATAGATATGTTTTGTAACATTATAAATGTCAACATAAAAAAGCAACATAAAAATATTTCTTGAGCAGCAAATCAGCATATTAGAATGATTTCTGCACTTTAAAAAAAATTCCACCTTCTGTTTTTCAACTTAAAAACGTACGTTCAGTTGCTACCTTCAATTTTTATTTAAGGCAGCATTTTTCACATTGAAGGCATATTTTATTATCAGTGTTCCCTTGTTCACCCACCTGCTGTCTTCTATGTCTTCAATGAAGAGTCCTCCCTGGTGTTTGCACTGGTTCCTACATGCTCGCATTTTGTCTTTGCCTTTGTAAATGATGTAACATTTGCCGTCCTCTGGGTGTTTCTTCAAATTAATTCCATCTTTCAGTGTCTGGACGTCTTCAGCCTCCAGTCGCAGAACCGTCTTTGAGACCTGAGATGTCATTGTGCTTCAGATCTAGAGACAGTTCACCTTCAGCGCGGTCAGATCTTATACATTTCATAGTTTCAGTTCAGTTTGCAGTCTTAAATATACATCATTATAATGCATTGTTGATAGACAGGTGCAGCTAGAAATGCATCATTACATATGACTAGTTTAAAACTATGTTTTTTATTTCAGTGTTTCTGAAATTGATATAATTTGAGCAAAACGTGCAAAACCAAGTAACCATGTTATGATGTTCTTACTGGAAAATCTAAAAATTTTCCAGTCAAATAATCTTCAAATTATGACAAGTATTTCTTAAATCACATTGATTTCTAATAATTTGACAGTTTGTTATACAGAGTTATATAGAGAGCGACATTACCTTTGCTGAGGGCTGATTTCTGAAGTAAATGTGAACAGGAAGACGCTTCGAATGAGTTCACAGAGTATGTGTGAGCTGAAGCCCACGTGTGAAGCTACTGTCTGCTTATCAAGGGCTTACAGATGAACCCAGAGGGCGTAACCATCGTTTCACACTGGAAAAACTATTTCTGATATTACTCTTCAAGGCATGTGGTTACACACTTCCTAATTATAAACACATTTTAGTTATAGCTGTTCAAATGTATTGAGTACACTGTACAAAAGTTTATTGGAGCATGTTTTACATGAAAATACTACTTTAGTCACGTAATTAAATGTTCTTCAAATCTGTGTTTTTGAGCACGTTTAAAAGCGTTTTAGTGTTTAAAGTTCAGTTATGTTGTACGTCTGTAATACTAAAAGCACAGGTAGGAAATAACTGACATTTCCACATCAATTTGTTATTGAGTAGAGCAGCATGCAACAAGTCAACCACAACCTGACCTTAAGACCTTAAATGGGTCATATGATGCATATGATGCTAAAGATTTCTTTTTCCAAATGTCCTATTCATTTTAATTTGTAGCATAAACAAATCAACATTATTATGTTAACAGAGCTCAAAATAATCAAAATAATGTTTGCACATTAAAATGAAAATGGTCAACATTTATCGCTCTCATTCCAAACCTGCATGACTTCCTTACTTTTCTGAGAAAGGTATTTTGAGAAATGTCTCAGTATCTTTTCATTCATACAATGGAAGTCAATGGGGTCCAATGTTGTTCCCAACATTCTTCAAAATATCTTTTTGAAATAAAGTCAAACAGGTTTGGTGAGTAAATGACAGAATGTTCATTTTTGGGTGAAGACTTTTTATAACTGAGTGCTAGAAATATTGTACATTATTGTAGGTCCTCTATGCCCCGCCTCTCTCAAACACGTCGTTTTCAACAAAGTCCCTCCTTCCGACAAGCGCAGTCTGCTCTGATTGGCCAGCTGACCCAGTGCATTGTGATTGGCCGAACACCACAAGCATACTTAAACTAATAACAAAACATACTTACAGTCGCTGATTCAGAAGCGCCAGATTGTCATAGCAAAGTCGGAATTGACCCTTTTTTATTTTTATTTTATAAATAGCCTTTGTGAACACACAGCCTTGTACTCTTCTAGGTTAAAAAAAACTGTGGTCCATGAAATGCGTTGCACAAATTCGAACATCTGGGTTGTGCTGTTCTGTTGTAAATAAATCTTAACCAATGATTCCTAATTGCATCTACTTCCGGAAGGCCAAATAAAGTGCTTTTGCTTTCGCACTGAAACACACAGCGTCTCCCTGACATGCTGCTTCAACGCTAACTGCGGTTACTGAAACCACGCCTTCTTTCTTTGCGTGCACATTTGGGTGCATTATGCTAATATTAACACATAGTGATGTAGACATGTGGGGGCGTGTTAGAATGAGCCGTTTTAGGTAGGCGTGGATGACTCTTAACCCTTATAAAGAACATCTCTTTGGATTTGAGACTTTAGTCTTTGCAACTTTACAGATCTTCTTTATGCACCAAGAGCTTGTAACACTCCAAAGAGAAAGGAAAAACTGAAATCGCATCATATGACCCCTTAAAAAAAAAAAAAATAAATCTAAGTCGTTGTAACAGAAACTGTTTTGAATGTCAAAATATGGAAGCTTAACACAATTGCTGGATGTAAACTCAGAACTCTGAGGAAAAAGGGGGAGTTCCAAAGTTAAATGTGCAATTCTGCATTTCTACAAACAGCCTCTATTTAAATGAAACTATATGACAGCTGCGAGTGCAACAATTTAAAACGAGATCAAAAGCTAACTTTATGTTAGCTTCAGAAAGCTTAGCCTGAACGCTTGAAGTACTTGTAAAAGCTTGAAGTTTAATAGATAGATAGATCTGAATTGTGAGATGAAAAGGACATCAAACCACAGACTTTCACATTTCTGATCAATCTGGTGAAGTCGGTTTGGTAGAACTGGATTTAACAGATCTGGTGTAGATCATAAATACCACTGATGCACATAGTTCACATGATCTACTTATGCTTACGATGCTTTGGGAAACGCAGCCCAGGTCATTTGAGGAGATTTATATGCTGATGCCAAGAAAAGCAGCACAATCATTTACGTTGTTTACTTGAGAGTTGTTTCCTTTATAACCCATCCTTTCCGGGAGACTGTCCTTCTGGGAGGGGGTTCTTATTAAGTTAATGGCTTATTACACTCATAGTTCAGAATGTGTTTTGCATGCCTGACATTTGGAAATAGAAATGGGTCTGGAGGAAAAATAACAGGGAAATATCAGGCAAAACCATCTTCTGTGGGCTTTTTTCATATCAAGTCCCAGAACAACTTGCATTGTGCGCATTTTATTTTTCTTCTTTCCTTTGTTCTCGGCTGTGACAATATATAAAAAAAGACAATATATATACTGTGCATTTGTTTGCTGTCCTTCTATATCCCATGAATAATTCATTAAGAATCTCTTTTTTTCTCAACAAATCCTCACGTCTCTTTGTTTTCACACAGATGCTTTCAAATGAAATGGTTACGTAATATATTACTACAATGATATTTACCATGTCTGTGATATTGCTGCCGATAGAATCGAGCTTTATTCATAGTATGTTATAAGTGATTTGTTGATGCTTTTACACTTTTAGTGTAAAGGTGAGTAGATTAATGTCACTTAATTTTTTGAAAATGCTTATTACTGCGTTCATACAGCAAACCTTTGGCTGTTTGTTTACAGTTTAATGGATGTTACTCCCATAATTAGTGGAAAGCCTATAGTGCGTAGGCAGGACCGGTTCTAGACATTTGGAGGCCCTAGTCAAAATTCATGTTGGAGGCCCCCTACCCCCAATGAAAAGGACTTGAAACAAATATGATTCCATATTTGTACTTCTATTGTATATTATTACTTCTATTCTATTAGTCTATCATGCTCATCAGCCTGAATTTCTTTGATCAAAAATACAGAAAAAACTGTAATATTGTGAAATATTATTACAATTTAAAGTAACGGTTTTCTATTTTAATTTACTTTAAAATATAATCTATTTCTGTGTGATGCAAAGCTGTATTTTCAGCATCATTACTCCAGTCTTCAGTGTCACATGATCCTTCAGAAATCATTCTAATATGCTGCTTTGTAAGAAACAGTTGTGCTGCTTAATATTTCTTTTATAACCTGTGATACTTTTTTCAGGATTTTTTTGATGATTAAAAAGTTTTTTGAAAAATAAAAAAAAATAGAAATCTTTTATCACAATATAAGTCTTTACTATCACTTTTTATCAATTTAACACATCCTTGCTCAATATTACTGCCCCCCCCATCCCCCCCCGGGTTTTTTGATCAAATAATGCAGGCTTGATGAGCAGAAGAGACTTTTTTCAAAAACATTAAAAATAGCAATGTGACCGGTACTGTATGTACATATTAATCAAACTTTATCAATCTCTTTTTTGTTTGTTGAGGATATTATTATAGCCATTATTATTATTATTTTGCAGTAATTTGTAATACCACTTCAGTAGCCTAAATGAACATCAGTGCTTTTATCATTTACCCCTCCCATTTATTGACTACAGATTTAATAATTAATAATATGATTAATAATATGATATTATGTATTGGATTGTTACCTTAAATATGCACTATATACACAAATCAAGTGGAAGTGAAAGAAGCGACCACTAAGCAGAAAAGAGGTCAATTCCTATAGAAGAAACTGAAATTGTTAGTGTTGAAAGTGTTGTGTTAGAGCAGTAATGTAATCTTGAAGATACTCACATCTGAGGTCCTTTTTTTAAACATTAATAAATGGTAGTAAACGTGCGATCTATTTGAATTCTATTGAGAAATTGCCACTTTAAAATGCTATGGAGAAAGTCGAACATTATCTAAAAAAGGCACATAAACTAAAAAGAGGAGAAAACATAATCTTGCACCAGCACTAACATATATTAAACTTTTTTAACTACTCATGACCACCTTTACTAAATGTATCACGTTTTATTGTGGCACATTTTGTTGAAATCAGTTAAAGGAATAGATTTTCCCTATAGATTTATATTACAGCTGTGGCTTGTTGTGCTATTGTTTCTAAATGTGCAGACAGTTTTTCCATAACAAATGCTATATATATTAATTAAAAAAAAGTCATTATTGGCCTGGTAATGAATAATAGGCTAGCCTTATTATAACAAATGCTGGTAAGAACTACATTTTCATAAGAGCAAGTACAAGTCAGAATCTAGAGCCATGTGTAAAACAGTGATGAAAAAGCCTGGCACTCAGATAATCCAAGAGATGGCATAGATTAAATCATTAAGAGCCTGATGAACTGTTGGAGTTAGAAATAAACAATATTGATAATAAAATGGTAAATTAGACTTTCCCATGGCATGCTGAATTGAGAACATGAGAAAATTCTGCCAAGCCTATAAGTGCCTAAATAATATAAAATACATTATATATCCTATGTAAACACGTATTTTTAACTAGGCTATTACTTTATTGCAGTTATGTTATCAACCAACTTTGCTTGTGTGGATGATTTTACAAAAATAAACACAGGCGGACTCGAGCGCCCCTTTTAGCCCCTACTGGTGAAGGCCAAAGCTATAACTACACCTTCTGTGGATGATTTTCACCAGTGCCATTTAAAATAATTCACTGAAAGTGTATTCTGACAAAATAATATATATTTTTTGTCTGCAGCCTTTGATGGCATTACTCATGACAGTTGCAGTTAAAAGGCTTGGGACTTTGGATTCTCATGGTACCATTAGCCAGTCAGAATCGCTATGACATAATTTCCTGTTCATTGATTAGTCATACTCACCTATATGCCTTAGGTGGCATGGCTCATAAGCAAGTGTGTCCAGAACTGAGGGCAAGATCACATACATTGTACATAACACACATCTTACACAGAGAAACTGCCACTGAGATGAATGGACTGCTTACAGCTTTCTTCATGTATTACAGACCTCCTCGGTCTAGCTTTGGCACCAAACGTTGGTTTGTAATTATTAACAAAATCTTATTTCTCAATAATTA